TTGGTAACGGGGTAGGTCGCAGCTTCGGTTGTGCCACTCCCGGCACTCGATGATGACGATGTTCTGAGAGTGTCAAACAATTTCTAACATCTTTTTTTCTATTCTGTTTGTTTTGTTTTGATGTGCAGGTGAATCAGAGACTTTGCAGAGAAGCTCAAAGGACATCAAGAAGGATACTTAGAAATTTTAGGGCTTAGGACTTTTTTAGGATACACACTTCTTTTGTAACTTGTAATAAAAAAAAGCATTATGAAATAATTCAATAATACATTTTTTATCCAAATTATTTCCCTTTTGTAAATCGTGATGAAATATTATGAATAAAATTCAACTTTCTATCCAAATTCTCTTTACAAATTGTAATAATAATAAAATATTATGAATGAACTTCACATATTTATTAAGATCATCTTCCATTTCTTCTCCATGATTTAATTCACAAACATCTCAACATACGATTCATCAGTCGAATATCCTTGAATTAACCCGATCCAATCTTAATACCTTTGACATGAATAAGCTCCAATACTCAGTAGAAGTTTTCACTGTTGTCCCTCTAAAGATGAACTGGAAGATAGAAGAATGATCTCTTGTTAAACCCCGTTTCACAGATCAGACTTTCCAAACCAAATTGATATCAAACCCACGTAAATAAACGCCTCAAAAAAAACATCATTATGTCCAACATTACGAATTATGCTTCAAAAATGACCAAAACGCCCCTGGGGTATTTCCTGCAAAACAAACACCTTCAGGACTTGTTAGTGGTTAGCAAATGCACAGATGATATGATATGCGAAATGACCGACTAAATATGAGGGTAAAATTTGGGGTATTACAACTGTTTTGGCATGATTTTGCTTAGTTTTTGCTTGATCTATAACCTCCATGACATAAGGTTGAGTTTAAAATTAATTTGGAGAGGTTTTGATGAATTTGAGTTTTTGGTACCAAACTTTGTTTGCTTCGTTTCTCTTTGATCTTGCATTATTAATGATTTTGGTTGATATATTTGGAATCCTCGCGAGAAGTAGATGAATTTTGATATAAAAAACTCTAAAAACGGTTGAGTTTTGCATTTTATGTGTGTTGTTTCATACTACAATGGTGGCCGGATTTTTACGGAAGATGACCGGAGCTGTTCCGGTGGTGGTGGTGAGGCTTTTCAACAGCCGTTGGATGAGAAGGGGAGGGAGACAAAGTCTCCCGATCGGAGGATCTAGAGGGCGCCACGCGTTCTAGCCAAAACGGCGTCGTTTTGGGAGTGGGAGGAGATTACGCGTGCGCGGGTTCGATCCCGCTGGTGTGCGTTTTGTTCTTTTTTCTTTTCATTTTTGTTTGTTGTGTTTTATTTTTGTTTTGTGGGCCTAGCGTTTTACTGTTTGCACCTCCTGGGAGGCCCAGTCTGCCGTTTGCACTGCATTTAGTTGCTGTTTACACCATTTATTTTCTATTTTAATTTTAGTAGGTTTTATTTTCTGTTTTGTTGCTGTTCCAATTTAAATCATTTAAAATAGTTCCAGTAGTCATAAAAATACACAAAAATAATTTTCAGAAACCTTAAGATGTCTAGTTTTTTCTGGATATTTTATTTTATTTTTTTCGTTTCATTTTCTATTTTAAAACAAATTAAATGTTGGAGCTGTTTTATTTGATTTAAATTGCAGTTCTGTTCTTTCTTGATTTTATTTCCATGTTTAAACTTCTTATTTTTGCATGAGTTTTTTTTAGCATTGTATTAACATGTTAATTGATCTTTGTATATTTTTTTCATAATTTTTAAGTGTTTTTTTCTTGATATTTGAATTGCCTTTTGTTCCCTCTCCATTGCTGCCTTTGTTTGGGACACTCTTGGTGTTTTCCCTATGTTGGGGCACTTACCTTTTGATTCTTAATCTCCCCTTTTTACCCCTGGTCCCTGATACCTTAGGGGTCCTTTGAGATGTTATTTGTCATTTTTAGATGCATTTTCATATTTTTCATGTATTTTGCAAGTTGCTTGTGTTTGTGTTGTTCTCTCTTGAGTGCCTTTGCTTGTTTGGCTTGGTTGGTGACTTTGGAGCTTGCTTGGCTTGGAATCCTTTTTGGGAGGCTTCTGGACTTGATATAGATGCTATGGCTTGAAGATTGGATCTTGGAGTTGGAGTTTCCTTTTTCTTTTAGGAGTTGTTTTAGGAGCTTAGGAAATTAGGGTTTTAGAAAGAGCCATTAGAGCTAGTTTTGATTTCTTCATCAAACATAGAATGCATTGTGTACTTCTATTCCATCCAATGACATGAAGTCCTCCTAGGGAAACTCCATATCTCCTTTGGAGGGATGTGTGGTATGCCCATAGTTGAGTAGAACTTTGAGGATACCTTTCCATTTCAATGTTGGTACTTGATGATTTCCTTTGGTTTTCATTAAGTTTTCAACATTTCAACCTTGATATTGGTGATTGTTCCTCTGCTTGAAGTGTGCTTGCTAGAGCTTGAAGATGAAGTTCGATAGAGCTTGAAGATAGATGCTAGCTTGAAGATGAAGTCTTGTTGACAACTTTGTTGTCATTTCATCTGTGCTTTCTAGAGCTTGTTGTTGCTGTCTGCTATAGGAGTTTGTTGCTGCTGCTTGGGCTGCCTCCTCTGTATCTCTGGTTCTTTCTCTGTATTGTCTTTTTGCTTGTGTTGATTGTCCTTAGGTTTGAGGTGGAGCTTGTTTACTCTTGCCTATTGTTTTCTACCTACTGTTGCATAGCATGCATTCTACTATTTACTATTTACTGCTTGCTTTCTTTTGCTGTTTCCCCTAGGATCTCTGATTTCCTCTATGCAAGAGGGAATTATGACAGACATTAGGTTTTGACCCATGCATGATAACTGTAGGTAGATTCCCCTTTCAACCATAGTTTTAGGGTGTCTCTCTTTTCTCCTCTCAAAACAAATTCAAAACCACAGTAATAAGGTTAATTGAAGTCGTGCGTTACGAGCCTTAAGCTATATGAGAAAAGGTTGGTAGAGGGTCTCTCTCCAGTAATCTGGATGTTAGTGTGGTACCCTTTGGGTGACATACGAAGCGTTCACTCCCGGGTCATAGTCTCTAGTGCGACTGAGATTGCAAACATCCTAAAAAACAGTTTTTTCGTAAAAAACTCAAACAAACATTCAAACTCTGTTTTTGTCCTCTTGGACCTTTAATCAGGAAACCCTTTTCAGAAGGAGATAAAAAACTGTCAGACAAGCTTGTGTCTTCCGTAGCCCGAACTACGTTTGCTCTGATCTTTCATGCCGTATGAAAGTATGTAGGCACGAGATGTGACATCTCAGCGAGCAACCTCCCCCCCTTAACCCGTAGTTAGGCGAACTACGTTAACTCTGATTTCTCGTTCCAGACGGGAATACGTAGGCATAAAGTGCGATACTTTGCCGAGTCATTTTATTTTATTTTTAACCCAGACCTTTAGAGTAGATAGATAAACACACTCTTAGATAGAAAACAAGCATGGATCCCGTCGAGTACGACGGACGTGAGGGGTGCTAATACCTTCCCCTTGCATAACCGACTCGCGAATCCAGGATTTGGTTGCGATGACCATTACTTTCCCTCTTTGCGTTAGGTTTACTTTGAGCGTTTCCTTTCTCTCTTGTGGGATAAATAACGCACGGTGGCGACTCTTCTGTCATAGCCGGCGCCGATTTTCGCAGTAGTGACACATGACATACCATTGACTCTGATTGCAATCTGATCATGTAATAAATAATGTTTTAGAGTCCTTTAGTAGTTGGTTGGTGATGATAGAATAAAGACAATTTTGTTAATGATTGAGCTAATGGCTTGTAGGTTGATGGCTAAATTTCAAAGAATTGGATAAGGATTTGGTTTTGAGAAAATTATCACACCTAAGATTAGAAATGTGTTTGACTACAATGCAAGATGAAAGAATGTGTAAACTTGCATATGCAGATAATGATGAGTTTCAAGTAAAAGATGGATATACCATGCAAACATGCACGTGCCTACATTACATACAAGAGAGAAAATGTAGAAATATTTGATGATAATGTGTAGACTACAAAAGTATATTGTTTGTGTTATAATGAGACTTCTAGGTCGACCAAGAACTAATTGAAAGAGAAGTGTCATCGAAGGTCTAGGTGGTCGTCGAGATGCAAGAAGACCAAACACAATTAGATGTGAAAAATGTAAGGAATTTGGATATAGTATATTATCTTGTCAAAGAGATAAAACAAAGAAACATGTATGAATGTAAAACCTATAAATTTTGGAGGAATTATCTTCACATGAATATTGACATGTTTGTTTTATACGCAGAAAAAATTGTGTGCGACCTAAAAAAATAGTAGTGGTGCTTATGCAAATATGGAAAGTCATCATAGAACTGCAAGTCAAGATCACTCGATTAGCCAAGTCGCTCATGAAAATGCTCAGTCACACTTGTGAAGACTTGATGTAGATGATTTTGAAAATATATTTTGATTTTAGAGATATGCATATGATTTTAGGGATAGTTTAATTGTCATTGTCATTTAATTGTTACAGTTATGATATATGTTTATGACATATTTTATTTTAAGACAAATTTGATATTTACTTTTCTGTTAGTGCCATAACAATTCCAAGAAATTATAATAGTTAATTACAACAACAAATGCAAGGATGTCTTTAAATATTTAATTATAGAGCAACCATCATAAATAATAACAATATTAAGTTGATGGGTGGATCACGTGAAAAAGAGAGTACTAACTTTACATCTCTTATTTTTATCCATTTAAAGAGAATTTGGGGAGGTTATTGACTAATGTAAAACTAAATGAGTATTTAACGGATTAATTAACGGTATAAAATTGATATGAGGGGTTTTTATCTATTTTAAAAGAGTTCGATAGAGGTTAGTGTCTAATATAAAATTAGAGGGAATGTTTGTGTCATTTAAAGAGATCTCACATGATATTAGTGTATATTTCCTAGAAAAAATCAAATATAGGGTGAAATCGTACACAATGGCTTTTCGTTTCCATGGCCTTTCTCTTTTATGTATTTTAAGTGTTGCTATGGTTTTGCTTTCAACGGGTAATGAAATAATGTTAGCTTTAAATTTTTATATTTTTTAACCATATGGATTAATGAACTTTCATTTGATTGCAGCCTCTGCAAATTTTCAAGAACCTCCCGGACGTACATGCATACATAAATGCAAAGAAGGAGGTGATGGAGTTTGCTATAAATTTTGCTATGAAATGGGTTTCAAATCTGGTGGCGATTGTTATAATGAAAATCCAGATAGTTCGGTTTGTTGTTGTATCAAAAATAAATAGTTAATGTTGTTTTGATTTTCAGCAACTTGACATATTTGTTTAAATAGAAATGCTCTCTTTTTAAAGGAGATCATTTGGTTGAGAAGGATATTGTGAACTTTGTTAAAATTTATTATTACTACTATTATTATTTTTGTTATCATCAAGATGACAACCTTGGATTTATGTATACTAAAATATAACCCGTGTGTTGCGCGGTTGATTTATAATAAGTTAATTTCATTGTATATGAAATTTTCAGTTTTATTAAAATTTTATATTGTTGTTTTGTTTGTTGTGTATTTTTTAAATAATTATATTTGAGTAATTATTATATGTAGTTTTGTAAACACATATTAAAAAAATAGTTGAATTTTAGGAGTAATAAAGAGAATCAATATATTATGTTTAAATATTATTTTTAGTGAGTTTATTTGAATAGTTATCGTATATGTGTTTATTAGAATATTTAAAAATATATTAAATTTTAAGCAGTAACAAAAACTTATTGTAAATAATATAAAAATTATTATTAATTAATTTGTATCTTAAAAACTTAATGATTAAAAACTTAATGCTTTTAATGAATGAATAATATCTAAATTCTAAAGCAACAATTTCATGAAACAATTTATTATTTAGCTTAATTTATTTTGAATTAAAAGAATAACGATTGGTTGTCATTTACAATTCATTAATCATTGTACTAAAATATAATATAAAAAGAGTTTCAAATTTTTAATATCACATTAATTGTTGAGTTAAAATTGGAATGGTAGATATTATTATTAATAATAAGTAAGAAATATAATTTCAAAATTTCAAATAGTCATGGATTATAGTTTAAGATTTGGATTGATAGAAATTATTAAATAGTGAGAATTTGGGAATCAATTTGATTTTTTTTTTTTAATATGATACTAATTGCAAAGTTATAACTTTGATTGGTAGATAATGTTATTAATATTGTAAAATGGAGTTTTGATTTTTTCTAGATATACGACTTGGATTGATAAATAATCATAAATAGTAAGATATGAATTTTTGTTAGGAATAATAGTAAATAAATGTGAATGTTCATTTACTCAACTTTCTATATTTCTTAATTGTTATGAGTTAATTTTGTAACCTTTGTATTTTTGAAGTTAATGGTTGTTTATTGGTCATGTATTATAAATATAGTACATGTTGCAATGCTAAGAGAACTTGAGTGAATAATATAATATCACTTTTCTTCTTCTCTTTGTCTTCTTTATCTCTATATATTTTTGGTTAATTTCATAATACGTTATCAACACAAAACTCTACGGTGCAAATGATGATATAGTCAGGTTCTACATTATTTTTTTAATCTCAATATATTTAAACTGGTATAATATAATTCATGATCCTGTTACTATTTTTTTCATATAAAATATAATATAATTCATGACCTTGTTACTATTTTTTCATATAAATATGTTATTTTTTATTATATATTTTGTAGAGAAATTTATTTACCTTGTACAATAATATTACATTTTATTTGATCATTCTTGTTAAATTCGGGAAGAATTTAATGTTAACACATTTGTATATGATTGTATAAAATTGAATTTTAACCTGTCAAAGTGTTAATTAAACATTCAAGCATTCGGAAGAGTTGCACGAAAAAATAATATTTCTAGATCATTGTTTATGGAAATAGTTAGTGACATGGTTTTCGTATAACTAAAATTTAATATTAAACTATCTCTAAAGTATTGCTCAAAGACTTGATTTAACCGATTATTGTGTTTATCAATAATTGATAAATTCCAGGAAAATTCAACATTTAAGCCTTATCAATTATTGAATCCTAGACGGACTGTATCTATAATATTAATGATTCTTAGAAGGATTACATCAATTATGTTTAAAAAGTTAGCAAAATGATTGTATCAATAATATTATCGAATTCTAGTAGGATTGAATAAAGAAATTTGACAAAGAAATTTCACAAAGAAATTTGACAAAGAAATTTGATTTTTGTTTTTCTTTTTATTGATGTAAAGTGTTGTAACATAAATTTTTTAAAAATAAAATTGAATATAAGTGATTCAATTTTTTTTATAAATAATTTGATGGTATGCATCCCGGAAGGATGACAAACATTATAATTTTTCTTTAGTAAAAACAATCCATGAAGAATTGCAAATATTGTAATTTTTTTTGGTAAAACGAAGTTCTCAAATATATTTTTTTGGTTTTTGTTTCTTAAAATATAGTAGTTACTCTACCTATTATATCTTAATTAACAAAGAAAATATTAATTGTGATTTTTATGCATCCTTGAAGGATTTCATGAATAACAAGCATCCTTTAAGGATTGCATGAATAACATGCATCCCAGAAGCAATATATGAATTATGTTAAAATGTTTTCGAAGGAATTGACATAAATTTTTGTGTTTAGATGTAAAAATTTGTAATATACTCATAAAATGATTATTATTCTATAAGAATGGCATGGATGATTCTAACGTATTCTAGAAGGATAACTATATTTTTATATTATTGTGATCTTTTTCTAGCATTTGACAAATTTGTTAGAGTATTATTAGTTGCATAATTGGAATTATTAATCTATATATTTTATCTTATTGATAATGTCTTACATTTATTTTTTAATTATTGTTTAGGTTTTTATGTGTCATGATTTAATATTTTTGATACCATTGATTACAAGAAAACTTGTGTTACAATGTGAAATCACAAATGTTATGTCCCTTATGTTATTTAGAGCTTCTTTTTGCTTCCAATAGAAAATTCTTGCGGTCAAAAATATCATGGTTGAAGATTTTGATGCCACCAACTAAGGAAAACTATTTTACTTTTGAATTACAAATGTAATGGATCCTAATGTAATATTGAGCTTTCATCAAATTTGGCTTAAAATATTTTGGTATATATATTGATCTCTCTATTAAAGGCTCTAAAATATCCATTGTATTGTTATATGGAGGAGCACTATTACACATTGATAATGTACTATATTCCTCTAAGTTTCATAAGAATTTATTATGTTTCAAAGATATCTGCCTAAATAGATACCATATTGAAACAAGAGATGATGGAGGTATTAAATATCTTTGAATTACAAAACAAAATTCAAACACAAAATGTATAATTCAAAAGCTATCAACTTTCTCCTCTGCCTTATACTACACTTATATTAGTACCATTGAAGCACATACAACAGTAAACTAGAAGTTTACAAATAATGATAAACTTTTAATTTGGCATGACCGATTGGGCTAGCCCAATTATATAATGATGCGAAAGATAATTGAAAATTCATTTTTTCATCCATTAATGAGTATGGAAATTATTCAATCAAATATGTTCTCATGCAGCTCTTGCTCGCAACGGAAGCTGATAATTCGTTCATCACCAACAAAAACTAGAAATGAATCTATCAGTTTTTTAAAGCGTATACATGGTGATATTTGTGGTCCAACACACCCATCATGTGAACCACTTAGATATTTTATGGTTTTAGTTTATGCATCAACTAGATGGTCACAAGTTTGTTTGTTCTCAACTTGCAACCTGACGTTTGCGAGATTGTTAGCTCAATTAATTCGAATAAGAGCTTATTTCCTCGATTATCTTGTTAAAATAATACGTCTTGATAATGCTGTAGAATTTTCATCTTAAGCGTTTAATGAGCATTGTATTTTTATTGGAGTTGACATTAAACATCCAGTAGCACATGTTCATACACAAAATGGACTTTCAAAATCATTTATTAAACGTATAAAATTAATTGGAAGACCACTTATTATGAGATGCAAACTCTCAATTTCTACTTAGGGACATGAAATTTTGCATGGCGCCACATTAATTTGCATCAGGCCAACGAGTTACCACACCTCTTCCCCTTTACAATTATTTTTTGGTAAAGAACCTAATATTTTTCATCTATGAAATTTTGGATGTGCGGTGTATGTTCCAATTTCTCTACCACAATGAAATAAGATGGATCCTCAAAGGAAGATGAGAATATATGTTGGATATGACTCTTCATCTATTATAGAGTTAAATAAGATAAGTGACAAAGAGGACCAGGAACCAATGTAACACTCTAATCTACCCCACAAAATAAAAAGCAAAATATTCACATTTATCAGAGTAAAATATTAAACTCAATAAAAATCACCTCAAATGACGTACATTTCTCAATAAATAAAATATAAGTCAAAGCTCCGTAAACAACGGGTTTTCCCAAAAGATATCAAAAATTGCAGCGGAACTCAAAATGCATAATCCAAAGTTTTCCTTATGCGGGAACATAATCAAAATAACCAAATCAAATAAATCATGGTTTAACTCAAAGACCACACCCCGATGTTACACTATCAGAGAAAGACCCTCTAAGTCAACCACAATGGTCAACGACCCAAAAACTTCAAAAGTCCTCGATGACATCCACGGCTAAACCTGGTCATCTGCACGTTACCCACGTGGAGGCAACATTCAAACAGGCAGGGTGAGTAAAACGATTCATAATAATCAATGTAGGAAATTAATATATAAAATGGCGTCATTCTCATATTCAACATCATCATATTCATCAATGGACATCAACGGTCACAACATCATAAATTACTCAAGATCATCTCATAAATGCAAATGCAACAAGATTCAATGCATGTGGTACCTATCATCACAGCTCAATGGACACTAGGCCATCAACTCTCAATAGATCTCCATCAATAGGATCGATTCTACTCAAGAATTAGAGCACATCAAGATACCTCACATCCGCACAATGGGACTGAAGTCAAAGAAATCAAGGTCCTGAACCGAAGTACGGATGGACATGAATGCATGATGCGCACGTCAATATCATCCTCATAATAATCTCATTAGGTGCATCATCACTCATCAAAATAATCATAAGAATCACGTCATCATAGAATCATCAAAACTCACGGAATCAACATCACAAATCATCATAGTTCCTCATGGGAATTCATCATACAATCATTTATTAATCAC